GTCGTGGGGATTCGAACCGCCGACCTTCTGATCTGGCTCTGTGGATTAACCCACAGCGCCACCCGCAACCCTGTTAAATGGCTTACCTATGTGTTTTTGTACCGTATAGAGATGGCGCTTGAAGTGCACCAACAAGGTACATAGCCCGTTAATAGGCCTAACTATGCTACAATCCCATCAACACTCACTAGGCAGTAGGTCTCATTGACTTCAGTGGGATTTACCTTTGAGTAACCAGGGATGCGGGTGGCACTGTGGTCTAAACAACTGAGCCTAGGGCTTGCTGATCAGAAGGTCGGCGGTTCGAATCCCCACGACGGGGTGAGCTCCCGTTGCTCGGTCCCTGCTCCTGCCAACCTAGCAGTTCGAAAGCACGTCAAAGTGCAAGTAGATAAATAGGTACCGCTCCGGCAGGAAGGTAAACAGCGTTTCCGTGCGCTGCTCTGGTTCGCCAGAAGCAGCTTAGTCATGCTGGCCACATGACCCGGAAGCTGTACGCCGGCTCCCTCGGCCAATAAAGCGAGATGAGCACTGCGACCCCAGAGTCATTCGCGACTGGACCTAACGGTCAGGGGTCCCTTTACCTTTAACCATGCATAGGGTTGCACTATTACCCTTCTGACAGATGACATCTGCTTAACCTCTGTGACTCAGAGGCCCATGCCTCTTTCTGTGGTACTCTAGATTCGGCAAAATTATTTACAGTTTTATTCTATTTGTTTTGTGACAACTTGGTTATTCATCTCCCCATTTTACAGATGAGGAACTAGAGCTGACAAGTAATGATTTTTTTGCTCAGACAGTCATGCCTATGCAAAGATTCAAGCCAGGGTGAGTGAGGCAGTCTACCCTTTAGATTCCCTTAAATCCCAGCATTCAGCATTTTCTTTACATTCTGACTAGATCCTTTTTCAGACATTCCAATGTGTGCACAATTAACACATATGTTGGTCAGGGTGGGGCCTGCCGCCTCCCCAACTTTCATTCATTGCACATGTATTTAAAACATCTGAAAATAACCAATCCTTTGCTGGTTTTGAAGTGAGGCAAGGTTTGGTTTGCAGTACCTGTACCAGGTCACAACCAGCCTGTTCATTTAAAGCAAATTTAAAGTGCATGGCTTCCTTCCAAAGAATCCCAGGAACTTTAGTTTACCGTATTTTTTGCTCTATAAGACTCACTTTTCCCCTCCTAAAAAGTAAGGGGAAATGTGTGTGCGTCTTATGGAGCGAATGCAGGCTGCGCAGCTATCCCAGAAGCCAGAACAGCAAGAGGGACCGTTGCTTTCACTGCGCAGCGATCCCTCTCGCTGTTCTGGCTTCTGAGATTCAGAATATTTTTTTTCTTGTTTTCCTCCTCCAAAAACTAGGTGCGTCTTGTGGTCTGGTGTGTCTTACAGAGCGAAAAATACGGTACCTCTCACAGAGCTAAAATTCCCAGCACCCTTAACAAGATCTCCAAGATCTCAATCACCACTTCATTCGGTTTTCAAGCATGTATCAGGTAACTACACTCACCCTTGCAGACAGCAGGATCTAGGATCAGTCTAGATTCAAAGCAGTATTTTGAGGAACAGCAGGAAGGATTCCAGTTTGAGGGAGAAGGAAACCCTACAAATTTGTGCTACAAACTGGTTAGTTTTACCTAGCCACAAAGGTTGCTCAGTGCCCTTTATTTTTTTAAAAATAAATTTTATTTTTGCATTTTCTATTTTACATAAACAAATGAATTAAAAACATAAACATATAATCTTTTCTGACTTCCTTCCCCCACCCCATTGTGGATCTTAATGTAATGATTTCCCCCTCTGCATCTCTGTCATAACTCTGATTTTATAAATCCTTTATCAATCCATAGATCAAATTTTTACTACAAGTTTTCTCTCAATCCTACCAGTGTATGTAGTTGTTTACAATAGCTTTTCAGATAAATTATAAACTTTCCCCATTCTTTATTAAAGACCTCCTCTTCCTGGTTTCTAGCTATTCCTGTAAGATTTGCCATCTCAGCATAGTTCATCAATTTTGTCTGCCACTCTTTTTTTGGTCGGAGTTGTACCATCTTTCCATTTATGGGCTAAGAGAGTCTGCACAGTCATGGTCGCGTACATAAATAGTTTCGTCTGGTCCTTTGGGATCTCTGGTCCTGTATTACCTAAAAGAAAAGCTTCTGGTTTCTTAGGAAAAGTTATTTTCAACATTTTCTTTGGTTCGTTATATATCATTTCCCAAAAGTCTTTTATCATCTTACATGACCACCACATGTGATAAAAGTACCCTCTTTTTCTTTACATTTCCAGCACATTTTAGACTTTGATTTGTACATCTTAGCTAATTTGCTAGGAGTTAAATACCAACAATACACCATTTTCATATCATTCTCCTTCAGAGTATAACATGCTGTAAATTTTAATCCTGTTGTCCATAATCTCTCCCACGCTGCTTGCTCAGTGCCCTTGAGCCAGTCTCTCACTCTCAGCCTGGACAACCTTACAGGGCTCTTAGGAGGATGCAGGGAAATTACATTTGCCACTCTGAGCTCCTTTGAAGAAGTTGTTAGAAGATTCTTCACAGAGCTGTAGTTCCCAGCACCCTTAAACTACAGTTCCCAGGGTTCCGTGAGGGGAGCCATTACTCCCAAAGTAGTATAAGAATACTTGACATGTATTGTGTGAATATGACTCAAGTCAGGCTATTTTTCCACTTTGCCCAATTACTGTCTTCTTTGACTGGCGGCAGATCTTCAGGGGGCTGTGGCTTGAAGACACGTTGAAAATATTTCTGACATGCATTGCAAAAGTGAGTAACAACATCCAGATGGCTGCTTTTCCCCCTGCCTTCCCCCTCCTGGAGTTCCTAGAGGTGGTTGGAGGATGGATGGCGGCAAATGGATTGCGGTTGAATCCTTACAAGACAGCAGTACTGTTCTTGGGGGACAGGGGGCGGGCTGGTGTGGAGGACTCCCTGGTCCTGAATGGGGTAACTGTACCCCTGAAGGACCAAGTGCGCAACCTGGGAGTCATTTTGGACTCACTGTCCATGGAGGCACAGGTCAATTCTGTGTCCAGGGCAGCTGTCTACTAGCTCCATCTGGTACGCAGGATGAGATCCTTCCTGTCCGCAGACTGTCTCGCCAGAGTAGTGCATGCTCTAGTTATCTCCCGCTTGGACTACTGCAATGTGCTCTACGTGGGGCTACCTTTGAAGGTGACCCGGAAACTACAACTAATCCAGAATGCGGCAGCTAGACTGGTGACTGGGGGCGGCCGCCGAGACCACATAACACCGGTCTTGAAAGACCTACATTGGCTCCCAGTACGTTTCCGAGCACAATTCAAAGTGTTGGTGCTGACCTTTAAAGCCCTAAACGGCCTTGGTCCAGTATACCTGAAGGAGCGTCTCCACCCCCATCATTCAGCCTGGACACTGAGGTCCAGCGCCGAAGGCCTTCTGGCGGTTCCCTCACTGCGAGAAGCAACGCTATAGGGAACCAGGCAGAGGGCCTTTTCGGTAGTGGCGCCCGCCCTGTGGAATGCCCTCCCACTAGATGTCAAAGAGATAAACAACTATCTGACATTCAGAAGACATCTGAAGGCAGCCCTGTTCAGGGAAGTTTTTAATGTGTGACATTTTAAGCTTTGTTGGAAGCCGCCCAGAGTGGCTGGGGAAACCCAGCCAGATAGGCAGGGTACAAATCATCATCATCATCATCATCATCATCCTGGTGCCTTCCAGGTGTTGGATTCCAACTCCCATCAGCTCCACTCAGCATGACCAGTGGTCAAGAGATGAACATCAGGAGGGCACCAAGTTGGGAAAGGCCAGGCCCAGGTAAAACAGCTTTGGGAGGGAGCATTTAGAAGAGGAGATGCAGCAGTGGAGAGGAGATGCTTAGCCCTTCCTCCACCCACTACTTTCCCCCAGCTGCTTTCCTTTGCCCTCCCGAAGTGTTTGCAAGGGAAGTGTGTATCTGGAACACTTCAGGAGGGGAAACAGATAGTGGAGAACTGCTGTGTTGAGGAGGGGGGAAGGTGGTGGTAGAGGAAGGGTAAAGCACCCCTTGCCCCTGCTACTTCTGCACATCATCCGTTCCCTCTGCCCTCCCCACCTCACCTAGCCTGAGCCAATTACTGTATTTTTCGCTCCATAAGGCGCACTTTTTTCCTCCTAAAAAGCAAGGGGAAAGGTCTGTGCGTCTTATGGAGCGAATGTGTGGTCGATCACTGGCTCCCTTTCTGGCCCCGACCCCTTGCCCAGGCCTTCATTGTTGAATGTTCTGCAGACGGAGGCTGTTTGTTTACCCAGCGACATGTGACTAGCTGATTAGATCACAGTCACACCTCGGGTTGAAGTAGCTTCAGGTTAAGCATTTCCGGGTTGCGCTCCACGGCGATTCAGAAGTAATGGAGCGTGTTACTTCCGGGTTTTGCCGCTCGCGCATGCGCTGACGCTCAAAATGAGGTCATGCGCATGCGCGGAAGCGCTGAATCGCGACCCGCACACGCGAAGACACGGGTTACATTTGCTTCAGGATGCAAACGGGGCTCCGGAACGGATTCCGTTCACATCCAGAGGTACCACTGTATCTGTGTGAAAACTGTAGAAACGGCTCCCTTTCCTTTCCTAAAGTAGCTGCAGAACTGTGGGTTGAACCCCATAAAAACAGGATTTTTTCCCTTTGCAAAGTAAGCTCAACAACTTTGTGCTGATCCTCAAAAAACCGGGGCTTTTCCCCTTTGCAAAAGAAGTTGCACAACTGTGAGCTGATCCTCAAAAAACCAGGGCTTTCCCCCTTTCCTCCTCTATAAACTAGGTGCGTCTTATGGTCAGGTGCTTCTTATGGAGCGAAAAATACGGTATTTGGAGGGGGTCAGGGAAACTTGCTACACAGTGCTGTCATTATCATTTCTTTGACCAACCAGATGTTACAGCAAGAGAAAGGAGAATTATATGGGCAGCAGATGTTTCCAGCAGTAAACACGGATTTACTTGAGCATCTAGCCCCGAGCCCCAAAACTGGAATATTCTCTTCTGAAAGTGAAACTCTGCCTGCAGATCAGTCGCAACTCCCCTGTAGACAGAACATGGCATGCCTATTCTGCAGAGAAAGCTGTGTAACCATAGCTTCTTCTTTCTTTTGAGATGCTTCCTGTTTATCTTTCTATGCCCAGCAAATCCATGGCTGGGCAACAGGCCTCTGATTTCTTCCTGGAGATTAGAAATAAAACCCTCTGTGATTCCTAGAAACAAAACAATGTGATGGTGTGCTGATTCCCCACCCCAATTCTGCTAGTGTTGCAATCAGCAGATTTTCCTGAAATCGGAGACGGCTTGCTTATTACCTCTGCTGCTGCCTTTCAGTCTTAAGCCAGCGAACAGTTCCGCACCAAAGCCGTGTGTTCCGCAATACGAATAAATTAGTGAAATGTCTGGAAAATGGTAGAAACATGTATGCAGTCATGTATGTGGTCAGGAGGCTGTAGTATTTGCTTTGCTTCCTGTTAAGTCTTTCAGTCATTGGCTTTTTCCTTAATATGAGGTTGGTTGGTTGGTTGGTTGGTTGGTTGCTAGGTTTGAGATAAAGGTGGGAGACTGGTGTAATAATAGCTGCTGATGTCACAAAGGCACTAGATAAGGTCTCCTTAAAGCAGGGGAAAACCGTGATTTTATCCTGTGTGGTTCATAGGAAGAATGAGTGGTTGTGCTGTTTCCACACTCTGGTGTATCATTTTGGGGCCATAATTAACACCAACCCTGCAGGGACTGCCCTGGCTATCAACATGCTGTTGTTGTTGTTTAGTCGTTTAGTTGTGTCCGACTCTTCGTGACCCCATAGACCAGAGCACACTGGGCACTTCTGTCTTCCACTGCCTCCCGCAGTTTGGTCAAACTCATGTTAGTAGCTTTGAGAACACTGTCCAACCATCTCATCCTCTGTTATCCCCTTCTTCTTGTGCCCTCCATCTTTCCCAACATCAGGGTCTTTTCCAGGGAGTCTTCTCTTCTCATGATGCGGCCCAAGTATTGGAACCTCAGCTTCAGGATCTGTCCTTCCAGTGAGCACTCAGGGTTGATTTCCTTCCGAATGGATAGGTTTGATCTTCTTGCAGTCCACAGGACTCTCAAGAGTCTCCTCCAGCACCATAATTCAAAAGCATCAATTCTTCAGCGATCAGCCTTCTTTATGGTCCAGCTCTCACTTCCTTACATCAGTACTGGGAAAACCATAGCTTTAACATCAACATGCTACTGAGCCCAATTCAAGGTTTTGCTGCTAATTTATAAAGCCCACATTTATTTATTTATGAAAAAGATGATATACTCCTATAGATTTTACAAAAAATGCACAGCAGTTTACAATAGTACAGTAAATAGATATGGAATATATAAACACAATAAGAAACACATAAAATTAAAACTCAGAGACTGTCAACTAACCATTATGGCAGGGGTCAGCAAACTTACCGCGCCTCAGACCGGTGTCTCCAGCGCCGATCTCACGGCGGGCTGGAGGGCGGGGGAGCGCTTGCCCATACGTGTGCGCACACGCTGTTTCCGGCGCACTTCCGGGCCGGAGGAGCACTGGAAACAGCTTGTGCGCATGTGCACGGGCCTCCTCCGACCCGGATGTGCACCGAAAACAACGCTTGCGCATGAGCAAATAACGCTTGCACATGCGCAAATAATGCTTGGGCATGCGCACAAGCTATTCCTGGTACTCCTCCACCCCAGAAGTGGGCAGCCACGCAGCGCACCGCTGCGCTGGTAAGAGCAGGCGGCGGGGGCTGCTGCGGGCCGGATAAACGAGTCCCTCAGGCCTTATCCGGCCCGCAGGCCTTAGTTTGGGGACCCCCGTGTTATGGAAAGATGTAAATACTTGAAGGTGTGCCTTTCCTATTTTGTGCCAGCCCTTGCCTTCAGTATGGCCAGCTCTACTATTAGGTAGCAGGAGGCAGCTGCTTCAAGTAGATGATGATGCAGGGCAATGAGCAAACAGAGCAGTGTGTGTGTCACACACAGTCATTCCGCCTCACCTGCATCCCTTAAGCTAGTCTGCTGCCCTCAGGTGCAGTGGAAGATTGTTCAGCCAAGCCTTATGAGGAACGGTTAAGAGAACTGGGTATGTTTAGTCTGGGAAACAGGAGACTGAGAGGAGCTGTGATAGCCAAATATCTAAAGGGCTGTCACATGGAAGATGGTGCAAACTTGTTTTCTCCTGCTTCGGAGGACCAATGGCTTCAAGTTGCAAGAAAGGAGATTCTGACTAAGCATCAGGAAGAACTTTCTGACAGTAAGAGCTGTTCGACAGTGGAACGGTCTCCCTCGAAAGATGGTGGAGTTTTTAAAACAGAAGTTGGATGGATGGCTATCTGTCATGGATGCTTCAGCTGAGTTTCTTGCATTGCAGGGGACTGGCCTAGATGATCCTTGATGTCCTTTCCAGCTGTGATTCTAAAATTCAGCTTCCTGTCTGGCCAACTTCCCTACCTGGTATGGGAGGTGGGGGAGGAGCAGAATAATCCTTAGTTTCAGGCAGCACATCTGGGGCTAACCCTGGACTTAAGATCTGATGAGGCACTGGTGGAGGAAGAGGAGTGGGGGGGAGCGCACCACCCCCGGAAGCACAATCCCGGTGGGGTGCCATCGTGGCTGCCACGCCCCCGCAGGCGGCGCACCACGCCCCCAGGACGTGCGCCAGCCCCGCCCCCACCTGCTCTCCACCCCCCGGTGCCAGAGCATGAAGCTCCACCACTGTGAGGAGGCCTTCTTTGTGAGCCCATCACTGAGTGAAGTACAGTAGTACCTCAGGTTAAGAACTTAATTCGTTCTGGAGGTCTGTTCTTAACCTGAAACTGTTCTTAACCTGAAGCACCACTTTAGCTAATGGGGCCTCCCACTGCCGCCACGCGATTTCTGTTCTCATCCTGAAGCAAAGTTCTTAAGCTGAGGCACTGTTTCTGGGTTAGCAGAGTCTGTAACCTAAAGTGTCTGTAACCTGAAGTGTCTGTAACCCGAGGTATATGTAAAGGTAAAGGGACCCCTGACCATTAGGTCCAGTCGTGACCAACTCTGGGGTTGCGGCGCTCATCTCGCTTTACTGGCCGAGGGAGCCGGCGTACAACTTCCGGGTCATGTGGCCAGCATGACTAAGCCACTTCTGGCGAACCAGAGCAGCTCACGGAAACGCTGTTTACCTTCCCACCGGAGCGGTACCTATTTATCTACTTGCACTTTGACGTGCTTTCGAACTGCTAGGTTGGCAGGAGCAGGGACCGAGCAACAAGAGCTCACCCCGTCACGGGGATTCAAACCGCCGACCTTCTGATCAGCAAGTCCTAGGCTCTGTGGTTTAACCCACAGCGCCACCCGCGTCCCTTGTAACCCGAGGTACCACTGTACATATTGCAGTGACATAGGGAAATATCAGTGCTATTCTTCTAGAAAAAGAGGTGACATTGTCCATGTTTTCTGGGGCTGATGAAAGGCCACAGGGGCCCAATTCCTGTTAAAGAAGGTTATGCGTGTTTGTACACAATTATGAGATCCTGCTAATCCATTCCACATGCAAGCTCTGATTTGGGAATTTTGTTTGACATTCCCATACATACTAGATGACAGTCTCCTTCATAGGCATGACGTCTGCCTTCTGTCTGCCTAATTCTGTTTGTGCAGTGGCACAAACCGAGGCTTACGCCACAGCAGCTAAGAAAACATTCCCTGAATGGCCAGTGGAGGTAGACCCAACCTGTTATCATGTTGCCTACACAAATGTGTCCCAGGGCCTTTGTGACACCAGTCTTAGGGACTTTCCAGCAGATGGTTTTTAGCCTTACACATAAAAAGACAGATCTGTTTGACAGTTTTTGACAGAAATCCAAAAAAAGTTACTCTAGGAAGGGCGGGGTATAAATAAAAATTTATTATTATGATTAAAGAAGGCTGATCGCCGAACAATGGATGCATTTGAATTATGGTGCTGGAGGAGACTCTTGAGAGTCCCATGGACTGCAAGAAAATCAAACCTATTCATTCTGAAGGAAATCAGCCCTGAGTGCTCACTGGAAGGACACATCCTGAAGCTGAGGCTCCAGTACTTTGGCCACATCATGAGAAGAGAAGACTCCCTGGAAAAGACCCTGATGTTGGGGAAGATGGAGGGCACAAGGAGAAGGGGACGACAGAGGACGAGATGGTTGGACAGTGTGCTGGAAGCTTCCAGCATGAGTTTGACCAAACTGCGGGAGGCAGTGGAAGACAGGAGTGCCTGGCATGCTCTGGTCCATGGGGTCACGAAGAGTCGGACACGACTAAACGACTAAACAACAACAACAACAATTATTAAATAATCTTTATAGAGTTGTACGTGTATCGAAAGGATGGGGATTTCAGGGAGGCAAAATCTGTAATGAATCACAAAAAGTGTGTGTGTGTGTGTGTGAGAGAGAGAGAGAGAGAGAGGGAAATTTGCATGCAAAAATACACCACCCTAATGGGTAAGGAATTCCTTCATCGCATTTGAAAGTTTCCACGAGTCAAGCCCAACGGAACCCCAAGCCCCATGGAAACGGCTTGCTCACTCCGCTTGCACCTCCTCGCCCCACTGTGAGGAGCTATTCTCTCAGTCAATTCTAAACACAAGGGCACCTATTTTCATCTGACACATGCAGGAGGGTGTGGCTTTGTTTTTGCAGGAATTGGCATTTTTTGGCAGGGCCCAGCGTGGGGGTGGAGTAGGCATGTACGTGGGTCATTCGGGTGGGGCAGTGCATTTGACCGGCACGGGGAGGGGGGGGAAGGTTCGTGATCACAGCAAGGAACAAGCTGAGAAGCATGCAAAACATCCCATGTTGCGATAGAAGCCATAGCTTGTCTCCCCCCCCCTTTTCCCCTTTTGATTTCTGAGGCTTTCAGTAGACAGTGTCCGCATTTTTCAAAGCTTCATCATGTGTTTCTATCTTGAGGGGATAAAGCTGAGAAGAGGAGCTATTCTGGGGCTGTGTATGAATCTCCACCCAGCTGATCTGAATTTGGACCGAATGCTGCGCGAGCCACTACATGCTTAATTGGGGGGTTAAGCCCCAATAAACCGAACAGGATGTGCTTCTTCTGAGTACGTATGCCCAGGCTCAGCCCAGAAAACTGCCATTCTTGTAGTGTTCCTGAAATATACTCAGAGTCGAGAGTGGATTTCATGCTCTTTATTCAGTTCATAGGGGTGAGGAGGAATGGAAGTTCCCCCAGAATGTCTGCTTTATATACATTATTTACACAATGGGCCCCATGTGATTGGCTAATTCCAGGATTCTCCTGTAGGCCAATCAGGTTGCGGATTCACTTCCACCTGGAGCTGGGTTGGGTGGCTCCTGTGGACCAATCTGACTGCTGCATTCTGGATCCTATTGTTTTAGGACCAATCAGACTGCTGCATTCGGAATCCTATTGTTCTAGGACCAATCAGACTGTTGCATTCTGGATCCTATTGTTCTAGGACGAATCAGACTGCTGCATTCTGGATCCTATTGTTCTAGGACCAATCAGACTGCTGCATTCTGGATCCTATTGTTTTAGGACCAATCAGACTGCTGCATTCTGGATCCTAATGTTCTAGGACCAATCAGATTGCTGCATTGTGGATCCTATTCTACTCAGTACATAACAGTTCCATTGCAAAGATGATAGGGACATTCTTTTGAGTCAATAAAGAAACTTGGGAAGCTCCCTTATAACAATTGAATGGGGGGCATGTGGTGAGATTGCAGGGGGCTGGACTTTACAATTCTATAATTCTAGGATCCCTGGCATTTCCAGGGAGGACTGGGAAAGATTCATTTATGAAAACTGGCAAGGCTGCTTCTTCTTCTTTTAATACATTTTTATTAGTTTTTAACATATTAATTAACATTCATGCACCAGAACTTCACATCTTAAACAATATTTTTTGGACTTCCGTCAACGCTTCTGATGATTTTCCATTCTTATCACTTATTATGCATTTATTAATTTCATATTACCTTTAATTACCTTTAACTAATAATTCTCCTCATTGTCTTTTTTGCAATATTTCAAATAATTCACCTTGCAAAACTTCTTGCAAACCTATTAGCGTAATCTGTCCATCACAATTACTTTTCAAATAGTCCGTAAATTTACACCAGTCTTCTGAGAATCTCTGGTCCCACAGGTTTCGAATCCTTCCTGTTAGTTTGTCCAATTCTGCATAGTCCATCAATTTCATTCTCCACTCTTCTTTCGTCGGTAATTCTTCTTGCTTCCAATTTTGTGCCAATAATATTCTTGCTACCGTCACTGCATATAAAAATAACTTACAATCCTTCTGGCAAGCTGCCACTGACTTCCAGTCAGTGTAAACCAGGGGGCAGCAGGGTTTACCTCGCCTGCGCCGGTTCACTCCAGCGGAGATCCCTCCGTGGGCCAGATCGTGTGCCCCCCCCCCGCGATTTTCGGTGTCTGTGCAGATGCGATTTCCGGTGCTGAGTGGGCGGCTCGGTTTGGGGGCGGCTCGGGGGCCGGTTAACGACCCCTGTGGGCTTCTTGTGGCCCATGGGCCTTAGGTTGCTGACCCCTGGTGCAAACTGTACTGAGCTAGATGGACATAGCCCCTATGTGGGGCTACCTTTGAAGGTGACCCAGAAACTACAACTAATCCAGAATGCGGCAGCTAGACTGGTGACTGGGAGCGGCCGCCGAGACCATATAACACCGGTCTTGAAAGACCTACACTGGCTCCCAGTACGTTTCCGAGTACAATTCAAAGTGTTGGTGCTGACCTTTAAAGCCCTAAACGGCCTCGGTCTAGTATACCTGAAGGAGCGTTTCCACCTCCATCGTTCTGCCCGGACACTGAGGTCCAGTGCCGAGGGCCTTCTGGCGGTTACGAGAAGTGAGGTTACAGGGAACCAGGTAGAGGGCCTTCTCGGTAGTGGCACCCGCCCTGTGGAACGCCCTCCCATCAGATGTCAAAGAGAAAAATAACTACCAAACTTTTAGAAGACATCTGAAGGCAGCCCTGTTTAGGGAAGCTTTTAATGTTTAATAGGTTATTGTATTTTAGTGTTCTGTTGGAAGCCGCCCAGAGTGGCTGGGGAAACACAGCCAGATGGGCGGAGTATAAATAAATTATTATTATTATTATTATTATTATTATTATTAATCAGGATCGTAGAGTTGGAAGGGACCCCAATAGTCATCCCCCTGCAATGCAGGAATCTCAGCTAAAGCATCCATGACAGATTGCACCTGGGACCTTCTGCATGCAAATCTGAGCCCTTTCCCTGCATGATTTGGGTTGGGAAAGATGTATTGCAGATAGGGATGGATGCAGTGAGTCGTGGAACCTGCACGCTCTTGTCAAATGATCAGCGTTGCATGGCGTGTTATGAAAGATAGTGCTAAGCATGCAGCTGCAACCTGATCCTATGCTCTGTTCTGCAGCAGAAGGAAAGCATAGGACATGGGTAGGCAAATTAAGGCCCGGGGGACCGGATCCGGCCCAATTGCCTTCTAAACCCGGCCCAGGGGCAGTCCAGGAATCAGCGTGTTTTTACATGAGTAGAAAGACATTCAAGTGTTTTCCAACACACTTTGGGAATTACTGGTTTAGGGGGCGAAGAGCTATTATGGGCCAGTTATCCGATCCCCGAGCCATCTGAAGTCAATCCTGTATAGGGAAGGTTTTTTTAAAATGTTTGTTGTTTTATTATGTTTTTATATATGTTGGAAGCTGTCCAGAGTGGCTGGGGCAACCCAGTCAGATGTGTGGGGTATAAATAGTAAAATTATCATTATGTAATGGGACGTCCCTATTTTCATCAGAGAAATGTTGGAGGGTATGTCATGTTCACACAAACCGTTACTTCAGCGTAACAAGTGCTTCACACCTTGCAGCTTCTGTTTTACAAAAGTTTGTGTTTTACAGAGGAGTAAAACTCAAGACATTGTGGCGTACCGTTTTTGCCCCCTCTTAGGCCTCACTTTATCTGTTCTTGGGGTCCCTCTTCCCTAGAGCATTACTGATAGTGGTAGGGAAAGCAAGATGGCGCTAGGCCTTGCGCAGCCCTGCATTCTCGTCAACATACTTACTGCTCATTTGCTTGCCTTGTCCTTCTGGGTTGAATCTGCATCACCACCAAGAGATTAGGACAGGGGTGCCAGATTTCAAAGAGGGCCAGATTTGATGAAGTGAACATGCATGAGGGCATGTTTTATAGGATTGAAGTTGTTGGGCTTTTTTTACAATTTTACCCCAAAGTTGCCGAGCTTTTTTTAGGATTGAAGTTGCTGAACTTTAGTATAAACAGAAGAACGTGACATTTGATGTAACAAACCAGAAATGGAAGTTGGAGGAAGTTAACAGGAAGGGGGGAAAGTAGAAAATGGATGTTAAATGATGATATTGAATAATTGTTATGAGAAAAGAAAATCAATAATTATTATTTATTTTTTTTAAATAGAAGAAGTTGCTGAGCTTTTTAAAGGATTTTACCCCAGGACATATACAGTGGTACCTCGGGTTAAGAACTTAATTCGTTCTGGAGGTCCGTTCTTAACCTGAAACTGTTCTTTACCTGAATCACCACTTTAGCTAATGGGGCCTCCTGCTGCTGCCGCTGCACGATTTCTGTTCTCATCCTGAAGCAAAGTTCTTAACCCGAGGTAATATTTCTGGATTAGCGGAGTCTGTAACCTGAAGTGTATGTAACCTGAAGCGTATGTAACCTGAGGTACAACTGTACTGCCATGGGGGCTGGATTAAATCGACCAGTGGGCTGGATTAGGCCCCCAAGACGGACTTTGAACATGCCTGGATTAGAACAAGG